AGAATAAAAATCGTATATATATATCCATATATATATATATTCTGAATTCTGTATAAGACAAAGTCTGCTTTATATTTTTCTTTTAAGAAAATTCTGAGTTATCTATAACATGATATGATGCCAAAAAGTTATCACTTTAATCTTTAACTGCCTTTTATTTCCTGCAGTGGGGTCACAGTTTCCATAATAAAGATTAACATGGAGGCATAGGATATGGCTAGATCATTTATCTTTCTAGATTAAGACTGTGACTTTTCCCTTGAAATCTCACAAATAAAATAAAAAACCAAAAAGAGCCTCCTTTTAGGCTTTTTTTTTTTTTGGTTACCCACATATTTATAATAACACTACAGTTATGATCTACCAAAATGTGCTTAGGAAGTAAGTCAGCTGGAATTAGTAAATTAGGTTACTTTGGAGTGTCAAACCAAATTCAGATCTTGCATGAGTCAATAATAAAATGACATTCATTTATGTAGTAGAATACAAATTTTCCTTTAAGAGGGTAGGAACAATTTTAGCTGCAGAAAAAAAAATTTGGAAAGCAAAGTAACTTTTAAATCATGATAGAAATATAAGTACAACTAATTTTTGTATTTTAGTCACCTATCTGAACATGCTCTGGTAAAGATAAGAAGTAGCATGTACTTTTCTTTGATTTCATTAGTTTTGCAAGTATGCAAACAAACACTTAGATAAGCTTACTCTGTGGCTAGTGTTTTATTTTTAAACCTTTTATTTATTTAGTTTTTTGCATAGAAGAATTAGGGTATAGACCAGAGGTCTGGCTGATAAGAGGACTCACTGGAGATAATAGTGGAGAGCAGGCAGGTGGATTTATTGAAATATACTGCTGAGGGGAGCAATCAGCAAGACAGGAGAGGTCTGCTGCGCCATATGTAGGTTAGCTCCCTGGTTGGGTGTTGACCTTAGGCCATAAAGGTGGTAGTGCTGTGACTTAAGCCCTAGGACATCAGGGAGGCCCACAGTACTTTTTTTTCTGAGACTGGATTATGAATATTTTACTTTACTTTGAATTTAATTGTTTATTCCACTTCCTTGTTAATTACAATTTAAAAGTATAAATTATGGAGGATAATATTTATAATATGTCATTTATTATTACCTTGCTTTCCTTGATTATAAATGAAAAAAGTTCTCAGAGAAAAATATCAGTGGCTCTCATTCTGGTGACTAGGTTTCACATGAGTTATGGCACCTGTGTCTTGGCCCACAGTACCTGCTAAAACTGTGTTTTTGGTCTTTTTATGGCTAAAACTACCAAAAAAAAGTAGCAAAAACTATTCGTGATTATCTAAAAGTAGAACTTTTTTTATTTTTAAGAATGTTTAAGAATGTTTTGGAGATTGTAGAGTAGCTAAGACATTAGGTTATTATTTTATGGTGTCAATGGGTACCAATACTTGCAAAAAATAGTTATTTCGTTGCTGAAAATAATATATTTTTCACTGCAGAAAAATATTAATGTACTTCTAAAATAAGAAAAGGCATTGAGGGCCCTCCCTGGTGGCGTAGCAGGTTAAAGCACTGCACTAAGAAGCTTAAGCCACTTCTGCATGAGTTCGATCCCTGCCTGCCCCGGAGGAGTCCACATGGTGTGGCAGACCTCTCCTGACCCGCCCGCTGCTCCCCTCAGCAGTGTACTTCGTTGATCTGCCTGTTCTGCTCCCCACTCTGTCTCTCTGGTGAATCCTCTCACCCTTCGCATCTCTGGCCTGTATCCCAGTTCTGTATGAATAAATAAATAAATCTTTAAAAAAAAAAAGGCATTGAAACTTATAAAACAGTTCATTTATAAAGAACATTTTAAGCTTTTCTGCAAACATTTGTCTTTTAGTACCCTATATTAAAAGTAGTTGACACTAAGGAAATCAGATATGTAAGTCATTACTATAATTAGTAAGGTTTATAATTATCTGGTATTTTATTTATTAACTCAATAATGTTTAGTTTTCATGACTTTGTATTTTTCTCTTCTAATATATTCTAATTTAACCATAATCACATGAATTAAGTGAGTAACATGTCCCTACCTCATCTGCTCCAGTGGCCAGAAATCTAGGATAGAAATGAGTTAGCCACACACATCTCTAAGACAGCAGACCTGTGAGCATCTACTGGGAACACTTAAAGACTCAGCATAATTGGAAAACTGAACTAAATATAATGGTTCTAACTATCCATGTTTTCCTTTGTCCTTTGACTTTGCATAGAAAAAATGGAAAATGTTTTGAAAAACAGATTTTTTTTTCAAGAAAAGGAAGTGGCAAACTATTAGCTGTGAATTTTCTATTTTGCTCTTCAAAAATATTTACATTATATGTTTTACTTATTTTCTGAAGACTGAATCTGAAAGTACAAAGAAACAATTTCTAGTTGTTAAAGTTACTGGGTCTCCCCTGTGCAATGAACACTACTGGACACTGTTAAAAGAAATAGAAGAAACAAAGATTTGGAAAGAAATTTCTTGTTCATGGATTGGAAGAATTCATATTGTTAACATGGCCATCTTATTCAAAGCAAAATACAGATTCATTATAATCCCTGTCTAAGTTTAAATGGTACCCTTCAAGAAAATTGAACAAATATTACTGAAATTATGGAACCACAAAGACCCTTAACCACCAAAGCAATCCTGACAAAAAAAGAGAGAGAATGGTCATATCACACACCTACAATTCAAACTATATTACAAAGCCATAATAATAAAACTGTATGGTAGGATAACAAAAACTGACACACAGACCAGTGGAAGAGAGTTGAGAGGCCAGAAATAAGCCCACAGTTTTATGGATAGTTAACTTATGATGCAGGGCCCAACAGTCCTGTATTGGAGAAGGTCTCATTAATAAATTGTAATATAAATACTGGACAATGACATACAATAGAATGAAACTAGACCACTGTCTTACACCACAAAAATTAATTCAAAATGGGGTAACAACATAGATTAAGACCTGAAATCATAAAATAAATAGAAGAAAACAGAGAAAACACTACATGACAAAAGCTTCAGTATATCTTTGTGAATTTGTCTCTAACACAGAAAGAAAAGTAAAAAAATATATAGAAATACTTGTTATTATGTCAAACTGAAGAGCTTTTACACAGTGAAAGTAAGTATCATTAAAATAAGAAGATAGCCTATAGAATGGGAGGAAATATTTGCATAACATTTATCTGAAAATGGACTGCTATCCAAGATCTACAAAGAACTCATATAATTCAACTAAAAGAAAATAAATAACCCAATAAAAATGGGCAGAATTGCTTAATAGGCACTTTTCCAAGGAAGACATACAGATGGAAAACAGACACATGAAAATATGCTTATCATCACTTTTCTTAGGGAAATTCAAATAAAAATCACAAGGAGATATAATTTCACACCTATAAGAATGACCCATATCAAAAAGACCAGAAAAAAACAGTGTTGGTGAGGATGTGGGGAAAAGGAACTCTCATGAACTATTGATGGGTATCTATGAAAAACAATATGGAAGTTATGTAAAATATCAAAATATATCTACTACATGATTTAGCAATCCCACACTTAGGTATTTACCTGAAATATGCAAAACACTATTTTGAAGGGATATATATACTACTATATTTATTGCTGCACTTTTTAAATAGCTAAGTTATGGGAGCAATCTAAATGTTCAAGGACACATGAGTAAAGATGTGGAATATATATATATATATATATAATGGAATACTTTTCAGCTCTAAAAAAGATAAATTCTTTCAATTTCCACAAACATGGATGGAAATGGATGGGATTGTGCTAAGCAAACAGTCTGAATGAAAAAGAAACACAAGGGATGGTGTCACTAATATGCAGAATATAGAAAAACAAACAAATAAAAAGCTCAGATAAAACCAAACCAATAACAAATCTTAGAATATGACTATAGATTTGAGGCTACTGGAGGGGGAACAAAAGTGGAAAGAGCAAAGTGCTGAGTAAGTTCAATCAGCTATGGTGGGGACTATCAATACCTTGGAGGTAATGGAGTTGATGTAATACCTTGTAACTGGGGGCATGATTTATACCTCTATAGCATTGTAAAATAAACATAGCCTTAATCATATTAATAAAATGTTACTGGATCTTTAAATCTATGCATTTAGGTAAGCCATATAGAATCACTGTCTAAGTGAAATGTACTTTCCTTTTTTGGGGGGTGGCATAAATCACATTCTTTAAATCTTATACTTGATCCTTTTGATAATTGGTCTCAACTTTTGGGAACCAGATGTATCAGTAAAAACAAAAATACTGTTTGAAGAGTTCAAACATGCTTGTTAAATAATGTGTGCACTAAAATATGATATTTATTAATATGAATGTTTTAAAACTCATATTATTTAACATATTTACAATGTTCATCTTGATTCTTCAAGAATGCTGCTAGTTTTCATCAAGGCAGTTAAATTTCTTTTCATAGTTCCCAGATCAGATAATTTGTTCAATGATTGATTGAATCTTTGTCCCACTACTCAAACAGTAAAATAAACAACTTTAGGATCTCATCACTAATGTATCAACCAAATATGTCAAATTCCTAATGAAATCTGCCATAATTTGCCTTTTTGATATACAACACAAGCCAAGTCAATACAATTGACTTTCTGATGAATATTTTGTATAAAATTAAGGAACTTCGTTGATAATTCCATAGAAGCCTGAAATGAACATGTGAGGCAGTGCTGCCATTAAGCAGGAGAAAGCAGAATTCTTTTCATTTTGAAGATCAATAAATAAACTACATGTGGTGAACCATTTCCTGTATCAAAAGATCATTTTTCTATTGGAAAATTTACCTAACAAACTCCAGATTCTTTGCACATCTGTATTAAGTTGCTTTGCTCCTACTGCCAAACATCAATCCTGGAACTTCCAGAAATTACATTTTTTTCAGGATTAAAAATTTTTAAAAAATTGAGTGAAATACCAAATTTATATGATTACTTACCAACTCAACATTATCCTTGGAGATTTTGTAATCATAGGAATAAGGATAAAGCATCATCTGAGAGTATGAGTGGATGGTCAAATAGGCTTTGATAGAAGAGAGGTTTTGGCGGATGAAATCAGCCAGGGCCTTGGTCTCCTTTTCAGACTCTGCAGTAGGTCCACAGTAAGTGTCATCACAGGGTCTATTAGAGGCTCCAATTTCTGAAAAAGATATTTTTTTTGTTAATGGCAACTGGTCACTTACTGTTTCAAAGTTTTAAATTAAGGAGTTAAAAATACTTGTATTCATAAAAGTTCTTTTAATCATACTCATATGCATATTATAAAGTATATACATTTTGTCACAAGGTTACTGATAGGGTAAAAAATTGCATGTGAAAACCCCAGTGTGTCCCTATATAGCATAATATAATAAGACCAATATAGTAATAAAAGCATAAGTCAGGGACAAACTACTGTCTGTGAGAAATTTCTATAGTATAGTAGAGCAGATATCTGGGGTTTTGCTTTCAATTATTTTCAGTCAAACATGATCAGAAAATATTATATACAGTAAGATATTTAGAGAGAGAAAAAGAGAGAGGATATAGAACGTTATTGAAATACATCTAAAATTCTATGTTATTATTAGTTACTGTAGTTACTCTTCCACTGTACTTAATTTATAAGTTAAATTTTATTATAAGCATGCACATATAGGAAATAACATGGTATATATTGGGATTATTGCTATTCATGGTTTCTGTTCATGGGGCATCTTGGATGGTATCCCCTGTGGATAAGGAGGAGAGTGTGATAATCATTTTCTGAGAAATGAATGCCAAGGTGATAATTATATAAGTTTTCTTTAAATATTTATTTATTCATTTAATAGTGGTATCTCCTAGATTGAACATTGGACAATTACTAGGATTAATCCTGCTTTGCTCAGTATTAATACACAGTGCAGAAGAGAACACAAGAGCATAAAAATATATTTTTTTGACTAAATAAGCCAACTATTGTGTGTGCCATAAAAGTCAAAACTTCAAAAAATTTTCCTTGATTTTGATGTTATTATGTTTTCCTATGTTATTTTTTCTTCTATGTTTTTCAACATACGGGTGCAAAATGTCTAGCCAGATACTTACTGCACCAACCAGCATTAAAATTTCTGTTGGGATCTGTGCCAATGCAGGAAGACCCAGGGTGGGTGGAGCGGGTCTTTCTCCACATGCGGTTCTGCAAATGGATTATAAGGTAAGGGCAAATATAATAGAAAGTGGTTGGCTTTTATTTCATCAGCTCTCAATATTGGTTCACATACCTTTGTCCATGTGAACACATAGCCGTCGATATTGACAACAGGCAAGACATAAAAGTCTAATTTGTTTAGAAGTTCTGTCATGCGGATCTCACGTCCATAGGTACGGACAGCCTGTATAGGAGTTATAAATCAGAATTTCATGGATAAATGGGATGCATAATGTCGCTAAATTTTATGAATTGAATAAATGTTGATTCTAGTAGAGAAAGCAGTGTTTTATTTATTGAGATGCCCATTAAGGTTCTATAATGCCAGTTGGATACATTACATATCTAGAACCATGACCACAACAATGGAGAAGTGCCTTAAACAAAATAAATTAAATTGTATGGAATAATTATATACTTATATTTTTAAAACACTTTGATATTATGAACTTTTAACTTTGAAATAATTTTATACTTATAGAAGAATTGCAAACACAGAGTAGTTCCCAGGTACCATTCACCCAATTCCCCCTAGTGTTAGCATCTTATATAAATAACCATGGCATAGTCATCAAAGTGAAGACACCAGTATTGGTAAAATACTATACACTAAACTGTAGACTTTGTTCAGATTTTAGCAATTTTTCTAATGTCCAAATTGTGTTTTAGGATCCAAACTAGAATCCCGCATTGCTTTTGGCTGTGGTGTCCCATTGGAAGCCTCTCAATTGTTGTTAACTCCTTAGTCTTTACTTATCTGACACACTAGAAGGATACTGGTCTGATTATTTTGCAGAAGCTTCATCATTGGCTTTGTCTGATTTTTTTTTTTTAACAATTAGAGGGATGTTATGCATTTGTGGAAATAATATTACTAAAACGATGTGGTGTAGGATATGGCTTCAGGGGGTACACAATATCAGAGAATAGAATATATCTTATACTGGTGAGGTTACTGGTGATTTTAACCTGGATCAATAGGTTAAGATAGTTTATTCTAGGTTTCTTTACTGTAAGTTTTGTTTTGTAATTTCATATTATTTTGGGAGAGATACTTTAAAACTGTTTAAGTTTTAAACCGTTATTTTTTCCTGAAATAATTATTATTGTGGTATTTTAACAGTAGTTCTATGCTTTGATTATTCTTTATACATTCATTCGTTGTAATTCTTCTATGACAAAAAGCTGATCCTTCTTTTCTTATTATCCCCTGAGTCACCTATTTCTATCAATATGGGCTCAAAATTAAGTTTTTAAAGTATCTCAATATTAGAATGATAAAGAATGTAAAACAGTATCATTTAAGTAGGGACTATACAATGTACTGTTTCCTTTTATTCTGAAGCATACAATGATTATTATCCAGGAGATAATGATTAAGTTTGTGGTTTATCAACAATTATCAACTTCTAAATTACCTATCTAATATACGACCAGTTAACATTACCATCAAAGATAGATGAAAATGTTCAGGTGAATGAAATTCAAATAAATATAATTTATTACTTTAACATCTTGCATGTCTTAATTTCACTTTCCTGGTGAAAATTGAAATTAATATAAAAAAAGGGGAACTTGAATTATGAATATTTTCTGGTGTTTATTTTTCTCTAATTATTATAGTAGGTTGTAAAGGACTGATTGGATTAAAAATACTTCGTTTCCCTCTGCATACTGACCTCTTTCACAAACCACTGGCAAAATGCAGGAGAAATCCACTCTCTGGCATGGAAACCACAGTCCATGAAAATGGCAGGCTTACTTGACCCAGCTTTGCCAATCTAAGCAAAGAGAAGGAAAGGGGAAACTGATACATCACATTTCAAGGTTAACATTTACTACCTGTCTGGTTTTGGACATAACAGATGAAACTTGACAGCAGCAAGACCTATATGCCAAGATTAAATTAAAACACAATTCTAGCACAGAATGTTCTTGCCTCTAGACACTCACAATGTTTGAGCTGAAGACTTACATGGCTGTTTATTATTTTTATTAAGCTTGACAGCTCATGTTTTCAGAAGATGCTTGATTACCCTGCTTAATTGTACTCACGTGGAGGTTATTTTCAGCTGCTATTATTAGGTGACATGACCAAGACAACTGGATGAGTAATTAGAAGTAATCATGATTGTTGCTAATCTTGTAAGAATTTTTCTTCTCTCCCGCTCACTCCTGTCTTTTTATTTTCTTCATTAGAATTACATGACAAAATGGCATTAGAGGATGACAAAAACAAATTATTGATATGCTTTGTAATGTTGTCTGGTAGACAGAGTTTATGAACCTCTTTAGCAAATGGATTTGCAAACAACATCTGGGAGACAAGAATTTTATCAAGGTAGATGATCATTTACATTGCTTACAGGAATGTGGTTAAATTTATAGTACTTCCATTATTTTATTGCTTTTTTTCTTTTTAAATAAATCAAAATAATGTTTAAAAAATCCACATATGATAAAAGAAATGGGGAAATCTGATTCCCTGGGGGATGCAGGCAGGGAAAGACTTATAACAATGTTTGGGATGAGCGTATCTGTGAAACAGATGTTAACTAACGTGTTAGAATTCATTGATATAAATCCCCGAGACATGGTGAGGTCACCGTTAAAAATTCTTACCTTGAGGACGTACATATTGCGTCCCTCAAAAGTGGTTCCGATAATACTGCGAGAGACGAGACTTGGATTCTCAGCTGCGATTTGTTCAGTCCAAGCCTCGATCTATCAAACAGAATAACTTGTGGATTAATGTGATGTTCCTGTTTCAATTCTCAAAGCAATTATCTATCATCGATCTAAATCACGTGCATATCATACCGTTTCCCAGTTGTTGTACTTGACATAACTGTGTCCAATAGAGCGGACCTGGCTATCAAACTGGGTCTCCAGCACAGATCGCAGGTTGTTGATCAGTACTCTGCAATAAAACAAAGTAGGGACTCCGGTTAGCATTTGTGGGACCATTCACACGGATGCAGGGTGATTGCTTTAGGCTCACATGCATCCTGGTGCTCTTCAATCTGACCTGTTCACCACAAAAAGTTAAGTAACTTCCTGAGAAGGCTATTGGGAATTGTAAGCAAGGCTGTCTCCTCCTTTGGTGGAAATATCATATATTTGAGTGTCCTTGGACTCTAAATTTGGAAAATGTTTCCTTTGGTACATAGACACTCTGAATCAAGGGTTTGGGCTGACATGCAACAATATGCCCTTGAGGCCTTTAAACCTTAGTACTCTCTTGATTTCAGAACTAAAAGTTATATGTGGCCCTCCCTGGTGGCGAGCGGGTTAAAGCACAGCACTAAGAATCTAAAGCCGCTTCCGCATGAGTTCGATTCCCGCCTGCCCCGAAGGTGATCACATGGCGTGGCAGACCTCTCCTGACCCGCCGCTGCTCCCCTCAGCAGTGTACTTGGCGATCTGCCTGTTCTGCTCCCCACTCTGTCTCTGGTGAAGCCTCTCGTGCCCCTGAGCCTCTGGCCTGTACCCCAGTTCGGTATGCACAAATAAATAAATCTTTAAAAAAAAAAAAGTTACATGTACCAGGAACCTACTCAGTCCAAATAGCTTGATGAGTGGAAATTCAGAAATAGTAATAAATTTAAGATTTATTAGGCAAGAGATTACTGTATTTAAGGAATTAGTTTTCTGCTATTGAAGAATAATTTTGTAACAAGGTTATATGAAAATTGGTGATGGAGTCTTAAAGGCCTGCTGCTTGTTCAGGTAAAAGTTTTAAGACAAGAGGCAGGCGTGGACATGTGTGACTCATTTCTTTTGATACTATTGAGTAGAAGGTATATAAGTATGATTAGAAGGGACAAAATTTTATGAAGATTAATGTCCTTGATCATAGCACTGTGACTATTCAGGCAGAGTCTAGTTTGCAGAAATTTCTATCATCCACAGTCAAGCCTTGAAATGATTTATCTGACACTCAGAGAATTTCAGCCACACATCAAACGTCTACTTTTCCTCTGGCTGCCCCAAGGACAAGGACTGATGAATTATATCAAGGACATCTTCTGAACCTCCCTCTTGGATTCCTCTTCATTAGGGTAATTTGGACAGGACTTGTATCTGCTTATGGAAAATACAGTAACTTAATACTAATGATATTTGCTTCCCAGCAAGAGGTAAATACTGTCTCTTAAGGCCTTTACCATCTTACAGTAGTAGAAAAAAAAAAGGAGCAGAATAAGAAGTATATTCTGGGGAGTAAACATTTTCTGTTGAGAAGCATCAGTACTTTGGGTATATTAGTTCCCTTTAACTGCTATAGATGACAACAAATTGGTGCTTGAAACAATGTATTTATTATTTTACAGTGCTGTAGGGCAGAAGTTCAGCACAGGCCTCACTGGCTGAAGTTCACAGGGCTGTGCTGTGCTCTTCTCTGGAGGCTCCAGAGATGCTCTGAGTCTGCCTTTTCCAGATCCCAGAGGTGGCCCACATGCCTTACTTTTTAACACTGGAATTGAGCAATTGTGGCTCAAGTCCCTTTCACTTGGCATCATTCTATCTCCTCTTCTGCATCCCTCTTCCACCTTTAAGGATTCTGTGATTGCACTGACTGTACCCAGGCAATCCAGGTTAATCTCCCGATTTTAAGTACTATTTAGCAATCTGAATTCCTTACTTCTTTTTGTCATATAACTTGTTCAGATATTTTAGGGATTAGGCTGTAGGCACATTTGGAAACCACCATTCTTCTTGTTACAGTTAGGAACAATGATAAAAATAAATAGGATAACTATATTCTACAACCTAAATTGTATTGTTAGGGAATAGGACAACAGAACCAATCTAGAATCAGATATCAAAAGATCAAGTTTATAGTTTTGCCTAACTCATAAACTGGCTTTAGAAAAGTCATTTAGTTACTGAGCTTTAATTAAGTAATTTATTTAAATTAATTAGTCATGTCTTTAAAGTGTTCAATTAAATTAATTAAAAATTTTAAGTTTTCAAATGGCTCATTTGATTATCTGTTATTTAATATCCTTTTCATTTCTGAGAGACGGTGACATGAACCAAATCCATAGGTTTTGGTCATAGATGTCTTTAAGAGTTTATCAAGAAAAATAGTTAAACTATGGCAAAGTTGTCATTTACTGTTTTCACTAACTCCAGGAAAACATGGAGAAAATTAATACTTAGAATAGAGATAGTTTAGTAAAAAGATGCTCAAATACAACTAAAACTAAACCCAGATCAAACCAAACTGAAATAGCAAAATAAAAATTGTGAAACCATAAATAAAATCAACTGACAGAAACCTTCAAGAATAATCAATTTGAAAGAATAAATATTGCCTAACAAAGGTAAATTACTCTGCCTCAATAGCAAAACTAAAAATCCAAGAGGAAATGGTAAATGATGCCTACTTTCATTTCAGCAAGCTTTTCCCATCATCAGTGAGCAAGTAAAATGCCATCAGAGTCACATGACAGGTTAGTGGGTACCCAGAGAAAAGAAATTGTCAGTTAATTATCCCCAGGTACTGCATAGTCTCAAGACTTCATTATACATGTGTATTTAAGGTCATGGTGGTCTCTAATCTGTCAGGAGCCAGTTCAAAGTAGAGAGGGCAGTAGTTTGTTTTGCATCCAGTTATTCCTTTTCATGCACCCAATTCTGAAATATAAGTTATTTAAGGGATACAGTGACTACATCAAGGTTAGTATTTTGTTTGGTACTAAGATGAAACATTTGTTTAGAGTTACTGCTTTTAAATATTAAACATTTTCATCAATAACCAGGACAAAGAAGCACACAGTTAAATTTACTATGCTATTCAAGAGAAAAAATATCATCTAGTAACTTGCGAGAGAGCATCAGAATGAGGTCGAAATGTGATGCTGACTTTTGCCTGAAGGCAGGGGATTAACCTCAAATGATCCTTTCCAGTCCTATGATTATTTGATGTTATTAGATTTAGGACATAGCACTACTTTAGCTATATTACAAAATATCATTACTAAATAATGAGCTTCTATTCTTGGAGATTAAAACAATGCCTCTTAATGTAATAGGGACCACATTACAGCTCCAAAATACAGAAGCACATACACTATTTTATACATTTATAGGTTCTTTTTATAGTGCCATCCAATTTCTTAAAAAAAAAAATGCAGGCAAATTGGATGATAGGGACTCCCAACAAAGAAAGGAATACAATGTCTGAGAGACATGACTCATTTTACTTTTTTTAGATTCTTGAAAACAACTTGATCAATTCTTGGGCTATTGAAGAACATCACTATGAACCCATTGCTATTCAAGGGCACATTAATGAACCTGAAATACTGAGGCAAACAATCTTATAGGCAACTATTAATCTCTCCCTAGATTGGAAAGGGTTAAAACATCCTTTTTGGAATTTGTCAGAAGGAATCCTGTGGCAAGCTGCCCACTAAAAAGTTCTTTCCACTTGGCTCTGGAACCTTAAATTGAAGATTAGAACCATCCAATTCCTAGTCTTTCTATATTTAACTGCACAATGTAAGAATAAAAAAAAAAAAAAGCTACATTTTTCTTGGTGCAGACATTTTAATATTTCCCCACTGGTAATTCATAATCTGATTAATGTGGCCAAATGATATAAGTAATAGTGAAGAGGGTTGGAAGTCCCCCAAAATCTGAGAAGCTATTTTGGAGGAATGTGTCTAGCAAATGGTTCTTTTTATATACAAACACAACTGCAAATTCTTGCTTGCAGGAAACCACCTAAATACACGAGTTGCCAGTGGAGATAATAATGAGATGAACAGTGTCTGCTGAGGGTCTCTAGGATATTGTGAGTAAGCAGAATTTCTAGGGATTCACTTATCAGCTAGAAAATTATATGAACAACTGTGTCAAACAGTGAACAAAAAAGTGAAAGTTAATGAATTCTTAACCACCAGGAAATATCTTATGTTCTAGATGATAACATTCATTCAGTTCCCCAAAAGTTCACCTATTAAAAAAGGACATGACATTTCCACACAGTGAAAGGAGATTGGTATATGAATAGAAGTTATTCAACTACTTTGTGACATAGGTAGAATTAGGACATAGGTAGAATTAGGACACCACTCAGGTAGCTTATTTGTGATGGCTGAGGTTCCTTTGTCTTTCTTAAGATTTTAAGAAATGAAGGTTACTGAAAGCTCCTAAAGTTTATGATTTTAGAAATCTTTTCCTAATGTAGGAGCAAGAAAAAACTATCTGCATGAATCTTAGTCACATTTTGGAACTTAATGTATTATATCCTTGTTTTAAAAAGACAGTCAATTCTTAAGGTCATTTTTTTTTTTTTTTTGACACTTCCCTCAGGGAAAAGCAGATAGCTAAACGGTCTGAAACATGATAATGGGGTTAAACACAACAGCTTCCACTGACCTTTAAAAATGTGTAATTTCTCTTTGTACAACAGTACATCATAGTAACATTCTCAGCAATAGTACTTTCAGTTGCAATTTATTTACATATGGTTTTATTTCATCACAACAGTCCTTTGGGGGAGGCATTATATCTTCATTTTATGGATAAGGAAACTGAAGTCAGTAAGTTTACACAAATTATCCAAGGTCACACAGCCAGGAAGCTGCAGAGTCAGGATTCGAATCTGGTTTGTTTTTGTCCAGAGCACTAACTTGCTGCATTTTGATGCTCTTCTGATGGAATTTTAGATTTATAAGTAAAATTCTAATGTGTTCACTGGCATAAATGTTATTTTATATATTTAAAATGTGAAACTCAAGAAAATTTTCCTAATGTTAAAATTATATAGGTCACATTTTCTCAACTACATTGACAGCCTTTGGGCTTATGTGGAGGATTGTTAGATAAGCATGTTTGAATGTTCAGGATGGAAGTTGAGGACTACCACTGTTCCTCTCTGATCTGCTGCTTAGGGGAAGAATTCTGCTTTGGAGGAAGACCCCCTTATCTACTTTCCACTTGTGCAAATACCTGCAGGCTAATGTGGTTTCTTACCTAATAACATTTTTCTTCATTTTTGTCTGGCTAACTCCAGTTCATCTTTCAGTTTTCCACTGAAGCTTCATTTCTATGCTGCATCTCCCTAACCCCTAGAGTTGGTCTGTTGTCCTTCAGTTTCAGTTCTTTAACACACTCTCCATATCTACAGCACATTATGTGTGTGATAGTCTTTCTTTCTTTCTTTGAATTGTCTTTCTTTGAAGACACTCCTCTGTCATCCCTCTCAAGCACACTCTCTTTCCTGGGATCAACAAATAGGCAACTGTCCGTACTTGAAAGGACATTCTCATCTTAAAGGTTTAGAAGGACCTGTTGGGGGGAGGAAAATGGGGTAACTCATTTGCCAACTCCAATTTAGGACTTTGGGAAACCACATTCTTTTCAGGGGTTTTCTCCATGTGTTCTATCATAGGGAAAATGGTGGGGACTTGTGGGAGGAAAGGGCAGAACTGCTCAGTGTGACTTATCTAAAAGAGCATGAAGAGTGTGATTTACCATAGGTCTGACAGTTTATCTGGAAAGAAGATTTCATGTGATTTGGAACTAGACAAGTATCTAGCTGATAATAAGGGTATTCACTGATTTGGACTGTACTTTGTATAGCACTTGTAATACAGTAGCAGGTCAGATGTCTGGCTAAAGATGGGGCTTCAAGAGTAAGAACCATTTTTATTTGGTTAAAATACAGAATTCGCTAGGCCTAATGCCTTAAGATTTTATGGGGGGCCAATTCCACCATGATCTATTTGTGGCATCTTGCTTATGATTAACCTACCCAGAGGCTTACCAGCATTCTTGGGAGAGAATTTAAATAGTCATAAAACATAAACTTACTCATAATTCAATTCATTCTTGTCCAGAAAGTCTTCTACAGTGACAATGTCATCTGCGTTTACACGGAAGTCAACTGTGCTGTGAGGTTTGATTTGTGTGACAGAATCTGGTTTCCAGAAGTCAATCTAAATAGGAAATAAGATATATGGGACAACTATAATTCAACTATGAACTTTTTTTTAATATATATATAAAGATTTTTATTTATTTATTCATACAGAACTGGGTACAGGCCAGAGATGTGGAGGGTGGGAGGATTCACCAGAGACAGTGCGGGGAGCAGAACAGGCAGGTCAACGAAGTACACTGCTGAGGGGAGCAGCAGGCGGGTCAGGAGAGGTCTGCCACCCCATGTGGATCTCTTCCGGGGCAGGCGGGGATTGAACTCATGAGGAAGTGACTTAAGCTTCTTAGTGCTGTGCTTTAACCTGCTGTGCCACCAGGGAGGGCCACAACTATGAACTTTTATCAGCTACAACACTGTTGCTCCACTCCACTGAATTATTTTTAAAATCAAATTATCCATGAAATTGCTTAAAAATATCTCCTTTCAGTGAACAAGGATCAGCAGCAAGCCATTAGATGTCAATATAAATGTTTACACATACATACATAGCCTTAATTGATTATCAACAAGCATGAAGTACATATAATTGTTTCCTACAATGCTAGTTAATTGCAGTATTCTATAACCGCTCTTCTCTACTTACTGATTTTCTGGAGCAGTTGCTTATTGTGATAGCAATGTTTGTGGAAAAGGATAAATATGCTGAATGAATGATGATGAATTAACGAGAGTCACAAAATTTAATAGAGTGAAATTGAGTTTTCTGCTTTACTTTATAATGGACTTATTTTAAGCATTTATCTGAAACTCAATGCTGTACATCACATTTATGTGTGGAGACAGGAGCATCCGTGGCCTGTGGAGGATCCATCAGACAGAAAAGTGTATCTTTCCTAGTGGACATCTTGGCATCATAACCAAATACAAAACACCCTCAAGGATTAATTAATGTACTGACATTTTCAGTTATGTGATTATTAACCAGCTGTAATTGATAACCTGGTAAGTTGTGCTAGCTTCTGTACCTGTGTCTAGGAACACACTAGTGAGCAAATCCCCTCTGACCTTTTGGCTCATGGGGGAAATTTTAGAGAAAATTGTACATGAAAATAAAAAGATGACATATTTGATGATACTAATGTTTTTTCTTCATGACATGTGGCTTCAAATTTCCTTTATCTCTGGAACAATATTAAAAGACATGCTACCACCTTTAAGTCTGTTTGCTGTTCTTTTCTTGATTGAGTCAAGGCCTGAAAGCCTGAAGTGAGTAGGCTATTGGCTCTTTCTCTACCCTTCTGTCTCACCCAAACCCTGTTTAGATATATATTTTTAAAGATTTATTTATTTATGCATACAGAACTGGGGAACAGGCCAGAAATGCAGAGGCAGTGGGAGGATTCACCACAGAAAGTGTAGGAGCAGAACGGACCGACTAATGAAGTACACTGCTGAGGGGAGCAGTGGGTGGGTCAGGAGGGGTCTGCCACACTATGTGGATTGCCTCTGGGGCTAGGGATCAAACTCATGCTGAAGTGGCTTTAGCTTCTTAGTGTTGTGCTTTAACCCACTGTACCACCAGGAAGGGCCCTGTTTATATATTCATGAGCTAGTTCAGGCTGGGAATTTGACAGGCAGTTTAGAACCATTGCCTGTAAATTTGGAAGGGAATTGGGGAAAATTTAGAGGTTGTTTAATAGAACCTAATGAGGTGACATATTAAGATGACTTAATTTTACAATAGCCAGTATCTTGTTGTTAATCTTCAAACTACTATAGAAATCCAGTGGGTACTGGAGTCATGAGTCAGGGGTATGGGAACTGTCAAGGTAATGGAATGCAGGGACACTAGGCTCTAGTGTCAGGAGGGATTCCAGGAAAAAAAGTGTGAGTGCTGTAGCACTAAGGTGTTGAAAGAGAGACTAGTGATATTTCATATGAATTGGCTACAGAAAGTGATCTAGTGAGTCAACGATGAGAGGATAAAGATGAGAGATTGAATCATAATGGAGGAAGTATGAAGATATATTATGATAAGGGCAGAGAAAGTAAGGGGATGGTGATGAATTCTAGTTAGCAAACATTCTAGTTTGCATAAATGGAAGGGCAATGAAAACAAACATAGGTAGGAGAAAACATAGCTTAAAATAGTTCACTCTGAATTTATGTTCCTATTAGACATGTGTCATTCCAAGGTGGGCTAGGAGAGGGAGTTGAATCTTTAGTATGGAACCAGAGGTTTGGAACTGGTAAAGCATATCAAGCCCTCTAGCATCTGTAGACAACTTGACAGCCCTCGCTATGCATAACACAGACTGCTCAAGGGACTCCCTACTGCCAAGTTCTGCAACTCTGTGTTTGAATCTTTTTGCCCCCAGAACTGGAAGAAACAAAAACAAAAACAAGCTGACTGCTCCAGGCAGGTAGGAGGATAAATAACTCTTTCCAGAGAATGCTCAATCAATAACCCTGGAAATTTGATGTCTAAATAATCTAATGCTCTCCTTTCTTAGGTAGCATAATTCTGAAGCATGTGATTTGCACCTTTTCTTAGTGTTTCCCTGTTAAAATTATAGCTGGAGTCAACCTTATGGTAGCTGGCTAAATAGTACTCCCTTTGTTGTCTGCCTTCTCTTATTTGTATCACTTTCTACTTTTCTCTAAGAGCTCCCTGCACTTCTCAGATGTAGTATTCATCCTTAAATCTTTGTTCAAGGGTTGGTTCTGGAAGAACCTACATCAAGATGCCAGCTTTCCACTCAAATTAATATGTCTCAGCCCTCCCTGGTGGCTCAGCAGGTTAAAGCACAGCACTAAGAAGCTAAAGCCACTTCCGCATGAGTTCTATCCCGCCTGCCCCGGAGGTGATTCACATGGGGCCGCAGGCCTCTCCTGACCTGCCTGCTGCTTCTCTCAGCAGTGTACTTCGACAGTCGGCCTGTTCTGCTCCCCACTCTGTTCTGCTCCCCACTCTGTCTCTGGTGAATCTTCTCAGTGCCCCTGCACCTCTGGCCTGTAACCCAGTTCTGTTTGCACAAATAAATCTTAAAAAAAAAAAAAAGTTTCAACACAATATCTTTGATGATCTAACACCATCTTAAGTATATTTAGTACCATTTCAGAATAACCTAAATGCCTGCTTTCTTTCTGAAATTAACTTGAAAGTTGCTTTCTTAAGCTGATAACCTCTTGGCCTTTGGTTTTGTTTCTGCCAAATATTGAAAAAAGAATACATATTGATAGTGTTATCCTTGAGATTATACATAAGAATGGAGGATTCTTTAAAAAGGAGTGAAGAAATATCCTAACTATATTTGAATGGAGACTTATGGAACTAACCTGAGTTTACTTGAAAATTTTAGCTTGGCATGGAGAAAACTGGTATGCAAATATGTCTTATAACCATAGTTTTGAGAAAATATGACAGAGATTTATTACACTGGTATTAGTCCTAAGTAATTCTTAGAAGAAATGGAACCAAAGACCTGGAAAAATTGTATGGCCTTATAGCTATTTGCCAGTGTGTCAAGAATGCATATAAATGATAAACTGAAAATATTAGCACAAGAAGATACATGTTAATTTCAGTAATTATCAATATCTTAAGAATCAGCTCTAGGTCTGAAATATGCAAGTGGAGTAAATAAAATACAATAGGTGAGGAACAGAGTTACATGTTAAACATTTATATAAACAAGGTCATAGAATTTTAATTTGAAGAATATGTGTGACAGAACCACAAAGAACATTTGTTGCAAGACAAAGTAACATTTCTCTAAGTGATAGCATTGCAGTTACCAACTTAACCATTCAACTGGCAAATATCTAGAGTCCTCCTAAAATATATCACAAAAGTAACATGAACACAATATGAAGTAACTGTATATCTACTTAAATAATTTTAGGATTAAGATGGGCATATAAAAGAATAAATATTTGTGATGAGTATTTTTTGTGTTACTCAAACTGTATAACCTTTTCTTAACATTGCTTTGACTAAAAGTATGACATCCGATAAAATTAATTTATCTTGTCATGTTCTTTTCTTGTTGGGAGGGGAAGCAACTTTAGATCTGATTCCAGCCAACAGAGAGAAACTTATTCGTATAGTGGGAGTCATGAGAATATCGAAAGATAGTCACTATGTTCCTTTGGGCATAAATAAGTAACTTATAGGAAAGAAACAGTTCACCAAGCACAGAGAAGAGAAAATAGTTTTGATGGTGAATGTCTTCAATTAAGGGAGAAGTATAATCCTGATTGCAAGGATATAAAACAAAATCCTCACTATAGAATTAAGGGTGAAAACAGGAAGGCTGCTAGAGTCCAGTGTGGCCTCAGATTTCTCCAATACATTCAGTTTGTAAAGGGACATGTTCAAAAGCTGGGAGGAAGGGCAAGGGTGAATACCAAGACCTGGTGCCCTTATAATGATCTTATCAGGAAGGCTGTAGTCCATAACATGCTGCGCTAATAAAACTGCTAAGGAGAATAAAAATATATCTTTTTAAATCTAATCGGAAGTAAAATGAATAGAGAATAACTATGCAGTACCACTGCTTGGAGCAAAAGCATATTTGCAGCTGGATGAGAGAGTGTAGCTTTATTTAACTTTTGTTTGGCTCTTGCCTTTTAGAAGAATAATTGCTCTATGTCTTACTTTTTTATGCTTATACTGAGAGATGAAACTACAGTAAGAAAACATTTTTCATATGCTATAGTCATAGCAGAAATGCCTTCTTTCAGGCCCAAGGTTGATGAGGAAGGAGTTGATTATGCTGGTTTGTAAACCCCCAGACCCTATGAATGTAGGAACAAACACACAGTTCTTACTGTGTAAGAAATGTCTAGTGTTCTATTTGTAGCAGCACTTTAAAATCTTGCAATGATTATAAGATAAAAACTGTTATTCTCTTCATTTTGCAAATGAGAAAGTTGAGACCCAAAGAGATGTCCAAAGTCCTGTGAATGGTAGAGCCAGGAAATGAACCCGCCATGTAGTCTGAGTTCAGATTCTTTGCTCTAGGCCACTACAAAATGCTGTATTCCTGAATAAATACAGATACTAAATAAATACAGGTGCTAAAAAGATACCACAGATGTGATTGCAGCATTTTCTCAGTAGTCCTGGGAACATCATAGTTTCAAGGGATATCTGATGGGGCAAGATTTGGACTTCATAAATAAGAAAACAGGTGAATCCCAGAAGTAGGAGGTCTTAGGGGCATAGCAGGGGGCTGGCAAAACTGCAGAGTAAACTGCAGATGGGTTGTGAATGCTAAAAAAGGAAGTAGTGGTCCTTGGGACCCAGAACAGTTTTAAACAGGACTAAGTCAGCCCAATTAACTTTATCTTATTATTGGAAGAGGCCACAGGTAGGTAGAATATTGAATCTTGGATCTCGGCAAAGTGTTTGACCAAACCTCTGCATTTTATATTCTACTTTATAAGCTGAAAAATGGTAGTGTTAACAGTAGGTAACACCCCAATAATGTGGCAAGTTGAATAAACTTACCCAAGGAGAACAGGTTAATGAATCACTTTTAGTGCTTAGCACTGAGTCTGGAACATTGGAGACACATGATAAATATGTATTGAATGAATGTACCATGAAGGAGGCCTCTAGTTCCCTGCTGATCCCTGACTTACATAATACTTTTCTGTATCAGTGACAAAGATAAAAATCAAGAAGGTAAGCATATTAAGCTTACTGGAAATATAAAAGTTAAGAGAAGTGCTATTTTTCTGGGTGAATTCATTTTATAAATGATCTAAACTTTCTATGAATAGAACATCACAATCAATTTTAACAGGGTAAATCTAAAATCCCACATTTAGATTAAAAACTAAATTGGGCAAGCACAAAAGGAAGAAAACCTTGCTTGAAAATCATTCAAGGAAGAAAAAAAAATAACATAATTGTTTTGAATTGCCATAGACTTAACATAAGTTAAGAAAGTCCTCCAACATGTTCAAGATGTTGAAAAGAATCTTTGGCCCCATTAATAATTCTCTCCTTTACAAATGAAGGCAGACACTGGTTCTACAATGTGTATCAATCAGTACATACTTGGAGAGCCATTGTCAATTCTGAGAGCTACATATTAAAAAAAGAAATATGGACAGAAATAACACTGAGCTCTGTTTAGAGGTGACCAAATGATCAAGTGTATGTAAACCAGTGCTAAGAGAAATGATGAAAGTGGAAGAGATAAATCTTGAAGGTAAACAATATTTGGATCAGCTAGGTCCAGTTGATCAAAGAGAAGTTATATTCCCTCTCAGTATAACAATTTTGTAAGGCAGTTGCGCTACTCTGAAAAGGGGAATTCCTACTATCCTTCAAACTATTCAAATGGGTCTTATTAGGCCTGACAACCAGAACTGCTATTTCCATTCCAATGTGGAAATGACATATCTGAGCAGAAGGCAGAAATGCTTGACTTTATATTCATTTCAGTACTAAACATTTGAACCTATTTCAAATGATCATATTTTCTATATTCTTCTTTGTTTCCCCTCCACATCTTACAAATTATAAAAGTTAGTAGAAAGATAGATGGATGGGTGGATAGATGGGTAAATAGGGAATATGTGGGTGGATAGACAGATATTTAAGGGCTACTGGATTAGTTTGATTTATATATTTATGAAAAAAACAGCATTTATTCAAGTGAACTATTTGTGTGGTCAGTAATAGGTTTCTGACACATATATTATAAAAAAGTTCTTAACCCATAGACAGTGGATGTTAAAGTAGCAGAGACATTTTGGTTTATTGAAAGTAAAGTATTGAAATCATTCATGACTTTTTAATCCCCAAACGCACTCAGTCACAACTCCATAATATAATCAGTAAAAGCGCCTGAACCAAAGTCATGAAGTTGTTTGATTTGGAATGAAAGAAAATCAAAGAGAGCAGATGATACATGGAATGTGGAAATAAATTTCAAGTTGGACCGAAGCCCAGTTTTTCAGTAGTATCTAAGCAGACCATTTTTCTCTTTTGCCTTAGAAGGGAAGTGATTGTGTATTAGATGTTCTCTGACCTTTGCTATAATTCCAACTCATCCAGTTGTCATGGTTTGTCAACTGTTAAAAATTCCTATGGATTTATAATTCTCAGGATTTATGGCAATCTAAGTTAGGCATATAAAGAAGGCATTGTAGCATTAAATGCTTTTCAGGTTTCATTTTTTTTTGCCAAAAAAATGCAATGGGCAATATTTCATGTAATAATTATTTGATGGAATCACAATGCAATCTAAGATTTTGAAGCTAGTGTGCAGCAAATCCATAGTATAGAATTATCATTTACCTGGGTGATGCTGGCTAACTTTTGGAGTAAGTTGATGTGACCTGCATCTTCAACATTGACACGAAACACCTTCTCACTGGATGGCAAAAACAGCACAGAAGAAAGAGTTTAGTAGTGCATTCAAATTTGGGGCCAGCAAAGAAGAAGGACTTGTTCATTTAAGGAACTGCTTACTCACCCTTCAAAGTGCTCACCAGCATGGTGAGTGGAAGCGAGAGCCACAGACAGGAGAACCAAGAGCACCAACATTGTGCCTGATTAGGTCACTTGGGTCAATTTAACCTGCTTTTATAAACCAAGGTTTTCTTCTACTTCCCAACAGGCATTATCAAGTATTGATTAATAATTTTTCCATCATAACTGCCTTGGTAACTGTGGAAAGTATGAGAGGATATTTCCCTTAACACCTGTGGCAGTAGAGCAAATAATCTCAAGTACAACTGATCTAAGTTAGTTGTTAGACCTTGAATAGAATAGTCTGGAAGTAAATTAGTTTGAATAAAATCTATTTTGAAATCTTTCATTTTGAATTGAAAATTACATACAATAAGTTCTATAATTTAAGTTTAAAGTTTGATGAATTTTTAGAAGTGTGTAACCTATGAAATAAATACCCCAATCAAGATGTAGAGCATATTCACTACCTTAAAAACTTTCTTGTAGCACCTTTCCCACCTATTTCTGTATCCCTTTCAGACAACCACTATGTGGATTTCTAGCTTCACACATTAATTTTGCATATATTAACAATTCATGTAAACAAGTTCATATACTAAATACTCCTTTGTGTCTGATTTGTCTCATTCAAGGTAATGTTTTTGAGGTTTATTACTATTTTTGTTTATATTACTGTTTTCCCTCTTGACTAACTAGTATTCCACTTATTAATGTATTAAAAAATATCCATTTTCCCTATTGATGGTTTTTGTAATATTTCTAATTGTGTGTTATAAACAAAACTAAAGTTAAAAATTCTTGCACAAATTTTATGGTTGACCATTTTTTGTCTTTTGAGAGAAGGTAAATCTTTAGAGTGGAATTGCTAAGCAATGTAAATAAGTGTTTAACATTATAAGATTCTGACAAATATTTTTCAGTGATTGTCCCATTTTAAGCTTACTAGTACCCAGTTGTTCTGATTTCCTTCCAACATTTTATTATTATTAACCATTAACTTCGGCAATTTTAGTGAATATGTAGTAGCTCTTGTGATTTTATTCTGTGATAGGACATGAAGTAAAATTTTTTTAAATTAAAAAAAAAAGCTTCCTTATGTTTTCTCAAGTTTATGTCTTTATGTAAAGTGTCAGATATGGGCCAACACATTTTCTTTTAATATTTATACCTAGTAGATACAGCATTATCTATTGGGAAGACTTCTTTCCCCCATTGAATTGTTCTGGGTTCTCTGTCAAAATGCATTTGGTTATATATGTATTGGATAACTTCTAGACCTATTGTGTTCTATTGGTCCATTTGTCTGACTTTGTACAACTTTAATAAATTTGATTACTGTACTATACAATAAATTTTCAGTTCAACTTTGATTTCTCCCAAGATTATTTTATTATTCTAAATAATTTACCTTTCCACTCTTGACTTCTGGTGACTTTCACGTGAATATCCTACTGTTGATCATTCAGTAATCTGACAGGGATGGGTCCAAATCCAATTAATTAATAATTACAATTAATATCATTAAGACTCTGGCAACATGCTAAAACCAATCTGCAACATTGATTACAGACATGCCACCTCAGTTTACTGAGACCAAATTCCATAATATCTGTGTCTACTTTAGAAATCCAGTTAACTTCTTTTTTAAATTTCAATATTGACACTTTTACTTTGCTTGAGGAAACAATATATACTCAAAAAGGTGTCTAGGATAATTTAATTGTTCATGATAACCCTTGTCTAAACTAGTTAAATGAAAGAGAGTGTCTCTATTCATGTAAGTGAAAAGTTCCTCAATGACGTTGTCTTCACAAGTTCAAACCTGCGTCTCCCTTTTTGTTCATTTCTGCCACTTGATAACAGGATGGTCACTGGGTTAGTAATCTTATTGGAAAGATCATTTCTACTTCCCCTAAATTCTAACCTAAATCTTCAGATTGAATCTTAGTGGACTCACTTGGCACATGAAACTTTTTATCCTTGAACTAATTCTGTGGCCAAGATGATGGCTCATGCTTGATTGAAGAGCTTTGGTCACATGATTCCTCCCCCTCCCCCATCAGGCCTGCATGTGGAGCTACAAAGTTAGTACAACCATGAGTTTATTTTAACTGATGCTCTGTAAATTCAAATGGAGGGCAATTAGCAATTAAAATTTGTCTTTTTAAGTTGCTATAAGTCTACCATAGATATTGAAATTTCTGATTCCTAGCTCATTTACATATTTAAATTTTTGTATGCACAGCTTTGGTGATTAATAAGCCACGAGGTGCCTTTGTGTCTGTTTGTGTTTCATGTAGCATTATGAGATTTTTGACTTTGTAAACCGCCCTGTGGTATTATAATTCATCCCATCTTAGTTTCTGGAAAGACATTTCCCCAAGCATGTTTCATGGTGTTAAATAGGAAAAGGTTCTGAGGTCAAATATGTTTGCTTTAAACTAAAACAAACACTTTCCTTTGGTGTAGGGCTTCTTGGAGTCATTAATATGTATTGTAAATCATCAAAAAGGGACTCTGATACAGCATTTTCCAAATGTATCTTTGAATACTTGCCTGCATTGTAGATCGTGCTTGATTGGCTAAGTCCAGCTAAAATTAAGTTTGGGACCATTCTTACTTTCTAGTGTTTTGTGCTATGCAACATTTTCTTCAAAAATGTCACTTAGGACCAGAGATTTTAGGGACACATCTTGGGAAACTCTAGAATGTGTTCACAAATGGAATCGCATTTATTTAAAGCTCTTGCTCTGTGAATGCTTGGTCTGTTTTGCTCAAGGTCAAATGACTTACTGTGATTTTTAATGTTAAGGTCACTGGGCTAAATTTTAACAAGTATTCGGAGAAGAAAAACCATGATTCATTCTTTTCAACCCTGCTGTGCTGGACAGGCAAGTGGTTAGACAGACACATTAAGAAAGTAGTTTTTTTTTTTTTTAAACTTATTTTTCCTTTGATTCAGAATGTGGCATTTAACAATTGGTCAATTGCTGATTCTGAATAAGTCAGTTCTCTCAAATTGGGTGCTACCGGGAACTGAAACAGAAGGGGTAAGTAGAAGACTCTTCCTCACTATTGAAGGATCAGATAATACGAGGAAAAAATCATAAATTAAGGAAAGTATAGTTTCTGTTAAGTAAGAGAAAACAGCTCTAAGAAGTTGGAGTGATTCAAGTACTTTGTATATGTATTTATTCGTATTGGAGACTCAATAGGAAAATAAATTATATAAAAGTTATTATCTGGGAACTTCTACATCAACATCATTATTTTCAACATCATATTCTAGTCATATTCTAGACAATTTATTATGAAAGGAGAACGTTGTTGCTTCATTGTTATAGGGCCATTGAAACCTTGTTTTTTATTAAGTTATCCAGAACCTTGTTTTGAAAAAACACAAAATCCTAGTAAGTCAATACATCGCTTTTTCACTTCACTGTTCTGCTTACTAACATCATAACCAAGATCTGTGCCATTTTCATACTGAGAATATGGTTCAGGACAGTTATCCTATCCTATTGTGTAATCCGTAATAAATGTTCTTTGTTTGAATCCTACATTGGGGTTCTCTCTAAATTCCTTTTAGCATGTCTGTAAAGACAAAACCCTAACAAATTCTGGTGATGCTGCACTGGTGACTTGGTGGTGGAAATTTCATGGGGAAGCCATACATTGTACAAAAATGAAGGATGACATAATGAATATATTTAAAAAAGAAAATGTACAAAATAAAGAATGATGTAAAAAATATGAAGACTTGCAACAATAAGATACAGATGAAATGGCAAAAAAAATCAAAGTAGGAGTTGGCAATATTAATATAATATAATAGTATTTTAGGTGATAGAAGAGGGAAACTGAGATGGGAAGTTAGCTCAGATATAACCAATAGGTTTAATCAATCAATGAAAATTCTGCTCATATCCCATATTCTTTTTAAAATTTATTTATTTACTTTTTTTGTTTTCAAAGTAGTAGCATTGGCTTGCACCACTATAAATGGGTTAGGGAATAGATTCATACCTCCTCAGATGTATGTTACCACACTATTCCAAACATAGAAAGCACCCATTATCCTTTATCCTAGGTTATTGGGGTCTTTTCCCCATTGTTGACCATAACAAATTTTGATGTTAAAAATGTAACAGTATTTTAGGTGATGGGAGAGGGAAGCTCTGAAATGGAAAGTTATTTCACAAATAACCAATAAGTTGTTTCCCCTTCCTTTCTCCCTTTAGCATTCTCAAATTTGCTGTCATAGTTCCAAGATTTAATATAGATTATTTTGTCAATTCATTTGCTTTTTTTCTATTACATGTATGAATGAAATATTCAGTGAAATATAACATGTATGAGTGAAATAGTCATTCTCCTGACTTATTTCACTAAACATAATCCCTTCTAGCTTGAATCAGCCTATGTGCTGATGTTATCACAGGCAGAGTTATCCTGAGACCACCATGGAGATAGTAACAGAATCAGGTCCATGGCAGACTAGGCAGCTCTGGGCCTACCTTGAAATATGGGCTATTCTCTCTAGGTAGTCAAGGAATGCTCTGTTGTGATTTACAGATAGCAAATAGGTCACAATTGTTCATAGGAACCCACATCCAGGTATTCCTAAGTTTCTTCATTATTCCTACATTCAGTACTGTGTTGTTCAGTCTCCACATATTTGAGATTTTTCTGTTTTCTTTCTGTTATCGGTTTCTATTTTTTTTTAAAGATTTATTTATTTGTACATACAGAACTGGGGTACAGGCCAGAGGCTCAGGGGCAGTGAGAGGCTTCACCAGAGACAGAGTGGGGAGCAGAACAGGCAGATTGACGAAGTACACTGCTGAGGGGAGCAGCGGGCAGGTCAGGAGAGGTCTGCCACGCCATGTGGACTCCTTCCGGGCAGGCGGGATTCGAACTCATGCGGAAGTGGCTTTAGCTTCCCAGTGCAGTGCTTTAACCCACTGCGCCACCAGGGAGGGCCCGGTTTCTATTTTAGTACCATTGTAATCAGAGAAGATTCTTCGTATGTTTTTATTCTTTATGAATTTATTGATAGTTGTCTTGCTACC